TAAAAAATTAATTTTCTATAAATTCTAATTCAAAGTCTTCAGTAAGAAATGAATGCATATAATTTAATGAATACATATAATATGTACAAATATTTGCAGTACATATTTTACATATTCTTCCATGTTTGAAAATTAGTTTATTAGCATATATAATTTCACTTTAATGTGGTATACAACATCAAATATAACATACAGGATCTTTAAGACTTTTTTTCAAAGAAGCCACAGAAGCGCAGGAAAACGGCGCAAGTAAATTAGTTGTAGAGTAACGCGAAGGCTGCCCAATAAAAAGGAATTAAAATATACAGTCATCTTTAATGTGGTATAAGCCTGATGGTTTTTTTGGGGGCGAAAAGCCCCCAAGTAAAATTACGATAAATTCAAGCTTAACTACTTCTGAACTGGCGTTTAGGCTATCTAGCGCGCTGAGCAAAAAAATATTCCCCAATATTTTGCCAAAAATTCAGATACATAATACCCTTATTTAATTTAAAATTGACTGGTCATTTTTTTATTATATTTTTAAAAATCCCTTTTAAATCACAAAATTACAAATACCTTGCTTTTAACGCGATTTGAATATTTACTACGCTAAGCATCGAATAAAATTTAATGGAACCAGTTTATTTGTTCTAACCTTCTGGTTCCCGATGCATGAGAGCCAAAGTACTTACAAAAATTTTGGTGCCCAATTTAATAAGTCATAAATTAAACTAACCATCATGAACAGACAATAATTTCAGGAAGATGGAATACGATTTTCAAATTAGAAAATTTCAAATAGTTCAAGCTTTAAATATGGTTTTAAAAAGTGTTGAATGACTGAGTAAAAATTTGTATGCCGTATTGAATACGAACTATTTTCCCTTGAACGCATTTTTTCCCCAAAATCGCCAAATGCTTTGGTATTATTCCGAGTAAAGGTGAGAAGATCCTGCCTATCAATATAGGGAAGTCAAACTTTGGGCGTTGATATTTTTGGTTGCATTCAATTCCCCTATGATAAATATCGTTTTCCTTCCCAACAATCTGGTAAAGCTTTGAATATTTTTCCGTTGATTAGACTTGTAATTTTAGTGAGTGTTGGGCTAGGCCCTAAAAACTTACTGGCCCGTTTCAGCTCGGGCCTTTTTTTTCAAACCGCCGGTCCACGTTTTTCACTTTTATTAACATATTGGTTTTTTTCTTATCATTTTTTATTGTTGAAACCAAAACATAATTAATTATTTCTTGGACTTATTCAGAAACCCTGGAAAGATTATTTTCTTATTATTATTACTGACTACTTTTTTGAACACAATCTTAAATCAGTCTAAAGAACTCTTATTACTCAATTTTACTGTTTTAGTATCTAATGCCTTAACAAGATAGGCCCCAAAAACTTGTCATGAATACAGGTAAAATGTAATAATTGGGAAAAAATGATAGTTTTCAATTTTAAATGATCTTTTGATTTTTGCACAAGCGACGGATGCGGGTACTTGTCCCAGCCTGTAATGAATAAAATCCTAATCCTTTACAGGCTGTATGAAGAGGTCCCAAAAATTTAAAAGGACTAGTATTAATAAAGAATTGTTAAAATACAATATGGACCCTGGCCTGGAAGGGGGACCGTACCAGTGCGGACTGTGACCTTGGACCTAGGGGCGGACCGTATTTTGGGGACACAATAATTTAATATTTTTTTTACATTAGTTCCCACATATTATAAATACTCTTTTTTAAATCAGGTCCCCTAATCTTGGGAGTACATCCGCCCTTGTCCCGTAAATTCCCAATTTAATGACTTAAAAAAGATATACTTATTTCATAAGTAGATTGATTTTCACAGGTTTTGCCTTCATTAGATGTAGGATTTCAATGAATCATTGGTTTCCGTCCATAAATTTTTTTATAGATTTTTTATTTTTAAAATTTATAGTTTTTATATCTGAAAAAGTATTTGTATTAAATTTCAAAACCAAGGTCGATAAAATAAGAAATTAAGATAACTGATTAAATATTATTAAATTTGTAACAGATTCCAGAATAATGTGTGAATATCGGCAATATTTTTCGCTTTTTAAAATCAACTAAAAAACGTACAAGGTTTTTACCGTTAACAATTTTTGTTGCGTTCATTTACGCACTCCTTGTAATTTAATTACGCAAAGAATGGTGAATTTGAAGTGTTTTTGGGTGTGTACTTTCATTTTCGAAAACAGCTGATTGACCAGCTTCCCATTTAAAACAGTTGAACCCTTGTGTAATCTATTGTCCAATTAATACCTGTTCAAGATACTGTTCAACTATTTTTCATCTGTAAACCCCAAAGTTTTTTTTTCCCCAAATTTTAACGGTTTCCCCCCCCTTTTTTTAAAAATTGCTTTTACGTGCTTTGATAAAATAGATTGTTCTATTTTTCCCTTGATAATTGTAAGAGGATTTATTAATAACACATGTTGTGCATGGTTGCTTCAAGGGGCTAATCAAATTGACATTTTTTTCACACAAACTCTGTTGCCGGGGAAATTTGATAAACTTACTTCATAACCTCAGATCCCCTTTCAAATTCCATTTTTATTTAGTTCCCGCCCATTGTTTTCTCGTTTAGGGCCACACGCTTTTTTTTTACTTGGGGACCATATGCCGCTTTTCATGGAATGGCACTAACGTGTCACATTGAAGGTTCCATGATAACCGCCATATGAACACATCTGCGAATGTTTCAAAATTTCTAAATTTTACCAGTTCATGTTAAATGTTGAATTCTGCTTAAGCCGGTGCTAGGGGGCGTGGACGGTAACTTGCACTTTCCAGTACCGTCCATGAACGGCTCAATCAAACCGAGCCTGCAACATTTTCAATATTGCCGTGTTGGGCTTTCTTTAGGGATTCTGTATTTATCTATTTCATTACCTTTGTTGATATAAAACAATCAATAAAAACAACTTGTCTTTAGCAGCGGAATTTTATATACAGCATCATATTAAGTCATCATTACTTTTATTGTTTAAACATCTATTTGATTATTATACTAATAGTATTCATGGAATTGGTAGAGGAATAGGCAGTGGCTAGCAGTATGAACGCAGTATTGGCTGTATGCGAGTCAAATACGACTAGCACATACTCACTGTTGAGGCTAGCTGTACAAGCATTTTAAAAATGAGTTGCCCTAAAACAATAATATGCAAACTTGTTTTTCTAAAAGAAGATTTTATTGATATCATATACAATTTCAGTCAATGCGAAAGTAAAAAAAAAATTCCACCTGCAAGGACTGGTATCCTTAGACTGATGATTTTTCCCACGTCCGGACTCTGACAATGGGTTTTTTTTTTGTAGGTATGGGGAGAGGGATATTGCCATAATTATAAAAAAATATTTAGCATATATGAATTATCAGACTTCAACTATAAGATACTAAAGAAAAAATATACAGAAACATATTGATAAAACATTAGTATAAATTCACAAGAAAAAAACAATACACAATGCAACTACTCGGCCCTTTTCCGTCAGTCTTCGGGATAAGGACCTCGAACACAATAGTATGAATACACAGAACGGATGCGGTATTTTCGGTCTAAAAACCTACGCTAAGAAAAATAAACATGTAACAAAAAGTAATTTAATGCTGGGCGTTGTTTTACAAGTTTATTTCCAATATATGTAGTAAACGATCACCTTAAATGAGTGATATTATAGGTACAAAAGCAAACCAATTCATTATTTTATTATTTTTTTATTATGGTTTTAGAAACCGAAAGTAACAAAAAACCCAACCTGACATTTCGTCGGATTTGTTTTAAAATTGAAACATCAATAGGCATATCTAAAATTACAAATTGTTGTCAGACAAATTTCAAGCAAAAGAGTACCCGAACAGGCAATTAGATGTCAAATATATACATTCGATTTACATTATCTCTGTTTCTGTTTACATCTGAAACCACGTGGTACAACTACTTTCAAATCCGTATTGTTTCCAAGGTTAATATTGTAGATAATAGCCGAGGCAGTTCGAATGAACAATACATGTTACATCTTTCAAAGGTTTAATTTTTGAAGATTGGAGAAAAAAATGTTTTGGTAAAGAAATTAACCCAAGACAAGATGGTGGCTTACATTACTTTAGCAAAAACTGGTCGTATCCTGCGGTGATTTTGGTTATCTTGGTCTGTGAATACAAGCAAAAATTAAAAAGATAGATCGATCTTTGAAGCTTTGCATATTTCAGAAGGCCAAAAAATTGTTTCCAAAACTGGCTGAAATTTTATTCCGACATGACAACTGACTGTATCGAAATTTATGTCGACCCTACAGATTTTTAGTTTGGCGAGGTCCGGGACGACAAGCCTTTCGCCAGACTGCAATTTACGTTGGGTATAGTAATTTGTGTGTTTGAATTGATCAAAAAGAGTTTTTTTTTCCCTTTCTAAAAATCATGGGTTAAAAAATTATAAATTTCTGTGTGAAAGCGGCCCAAAGAGAAAGGACTGAAAATTTAATTTATTATATTTTTATGGACTTATTATTAGATACATTTTGTTAATCAAACATGGTGGGTAATTTCCCCAACAGTAGTTGAATTATGACAAAGTATTTTTCATTAATTTTTATTTCAACTTTTAGCTACTTGAAACCTTTGAAAAAGCTGGATGTTTTGCTTACCATTCCATTTTTGCCATAAGAGCTCTAATTGAATGACATTAAGCCCACGGGCCCCAATTCATTTCTCATATATCTTTCCGATATCTTGTTATAATAAAAAGGCTGAACGTCATCGTAGAATTATTAGGAAAAAATATATATGTTCATTTTTTGTAAAAAAATGTTAGAAGACTTGCAAGTTACCAATTTTTATCATTGCATTTATTTATTATTGAAAAAATGCTGAACGGCTATCCTCAACAGTGTGTATAGGCTAGAACTTTCAGTTTGCATTTAGGGTCAAAATATATTGTTACAGTCATGACAGCTTTCCCGTTGCTGTCAACAAACTTTAACCTTTCATAAACTTTTCAGATCTTGGTGTATTGTCTTCATACTTGGCCACAACAACCCTTCAAATAGACCAGACTAAACTTGACCTCCATATAAACATTCAAGGTAAAATATTTAAATTTTTCCTGATTTTTGCTATTAGTGGCTATGACTTTGTTATTTTTGAATGGATTGTCTTAAAACTTGTACGCAACAATTTCAGGATAGGACCTGCTTCACTCATTAATGTCCTTGAAGCTTTTGATGATCAGAAGTTGTGTAGAATAATACAATACGGAACAATTTTTCATTAACTTGGTTTTTGCAATTTCTGAGACAATTTGGATTTTAAAGATAGTGTTTTCTTAAAATTTAAGGACAGTATAGTAGATTGAAAAGACATTTAGTACATACTTATATACACTATAATCTACTATAGTATACTATAAAAAATCTTTGTTCTTTGGACAATTTTGAAACAAATTGTTTCTTAAACAGTGTAAGAAATTAGGATTTGAATCGACTAAGCTCTGGTCGGACTACCAGATTTTGGAATATTAACTAGCCCAAAAGACATTTCTCTGGCACGATTAAAATTTGTTCAAAACAGTTTGTTTATATTTGCCTCTTAAAATACAGTGGCTTGGTCAGGCCTGTTACTGTGAAAAGTTGGTAGCCCGAGGAGAAATTTAGTATTCAGGGGCTATAGGACTACTGGCTAATTTCTAACACTGCTTAAATTATTGATTTGACTATTGATTTCAACTAACATAATTATTGGGATACTATATGTATATCTAATAATAATTATATTTTATCTTTTCCAAACTTTCTGTTTCAGATGGTGGGCCTACATGTCAGATTTGTAAATGTGAACGGCACGATATTGATTTTAAGGATGCTTTAGGGTCAATGAGGATGAAATAAAATGTGAGACTGTCAATCTGACAAACCTTGCAGTGAATAAATGGTAAAATGTTTCTTTCAGTAGCATGGCATTTAAAGAAGCGGTACATGATAATTTAGAAGTGGTTGTATATGATATTTCTTAATTATTATATTCTAATAGCTTTTATTTCTTGACTTGTTTAAAGGCTGACACAGGATAGTCTATTTTAAGTCAGTGAGCTTCTGTCACTGGATAGACTATTGTCACAAAAATCCAAATTTTAAAAAGGAATTACAGTGAATTTAAATATCATCTTATAGAATAGAAATTAGGAACAAAATTAATAACAAGAACAATTGTGACATGTAACATGTATTTAGGAATTCAGCTTTCCTTTCCTTTTCACCTCAAGAAGAATTCACATTAATTTAAAATAATGAATATTCACAATAAGCACTCCGACATATCTGACATATATGATTTCACTTAGCTGTCTATAGCTTATCAGAATCACTCACATTTATAAATTTAAAATGATTTTGAAAAAATTGCTGCTTAGCAAATAGATAAAATACTTGGGGTGTCTGTGGCGATTGGTTGACTTTAAACCTTTAAGCCTTTCACTGCTGTAGGTTCGTGCTCTGCAAGTGTTTACGGATCATTTCATGTGAGAAAGCTATCTAGCTCATTTATGGAACATTGATGGTACCCAGGTGCCTGAAAATCATAGCACATAGGTGCACCAAGGTCTTCATCAAGCAGTAAAGCCCAAAATTGTGCTTTAAATTGCCCCCACCCCCCTCCCCGAAAAAAAAAACAACAAAATAATGAAATTTTTATTTTGCTGTAAACTTTTTTCTAAACAAATATTTCAGGAAACAGTGGCGTTTGTATGATAGAACAGTAATAGCAGGAGTGATAAGGACAGATGCATGTAGATGTTTCTTTTAAAAGTCGGGAAATACTAAAAGAAATTGGGGCACTTTGGGGTTTTTTAAACAAAAAAATTGGAAAAACCAGGAAAAAGGGGCTTGGGCCCTTTGCTGTTGGAAAAGTGTGATGTCGAAAGCCCCATGAAAAATAGTAAAATTTAAATTAATTTAAAAAGAAAAGAAAAAAACATTGAGGGAGAAAATAATCCAGTTTTTTCACCTAGAAAAATTTAGAAAAACTTTCCAATATTTAAATTTTTTATAATTTATAAAAACTTGAATGAAATGACAATGAAAAAGGGATTTATATTTGGAAAAAGAGCCACCCGTTTTTTTTACCAGGAAAATAAAATCACTTAAACTATTTTTTAAAAAATTTTAAAGAACAAAACTCTATTTTTAAATTCAAAAGGGGGAGTTTATCATGAAGGGAAAATGAGATAACTTTTTGTATGAACAGAACCACATTTGAATATAGAGGCGCCAGTTCATCACCAAGAAGATGAGCTAACTTATCAATGTTTGAATCTGTTATACCCCTGCACAACAAAGTTGTAAGGGGGCTACACTGGAATCAGCTTGTCCGGCCGTCGGGCGTCCGTGGCTTTTTTCATGTCCGTCCATAAAATTAAGATTCCTTTGACCCACAGTCTTCATATTTGGCATGGAGGTAAGTCATGATTAGTAGATGACCTCCATTAATTTTGAGAACACCAAGTCAAAGGTCAAGGTCACAGGGGTCTTGACTGAAGAAAGCTTTTCTGCCAAAACTTAAGACTCCTTCGACCCACAGTCTTCATATTTGGCATGGAGGTTAGTCATGATTAGTAGATGATCCCTATTTATTTTCAGGTCTAAGGTCATGGCCACAGGGGCCTTGGCTAATTAAAGCTTGTCCGCCCAATTACCTAAGAATCCTTAGACCCATAGTCTTAATATTTTGGCATGGAGGTTAGTCAAGATTAGTAGAATACCCCTATTGATTTTGAGGTTACTGGGGCAAAGGTCAAGGTCACAGGGGCTTTTATTACAATAAGCTTGTCTGCTCAAATGGTCTCATATATTCATCATAAAACACCTCCAGGCAAGGCTGCATGAAATGGGGGGGGGGGGGGGGGTGTTATTGAAGTCATTCAATGGCAGTTTTAGTTTTGAGGTCAGTAGGTCCAAGGTAAAGTTCACTTTGATCTTTTCTACTAAAACATGTAGAATATATAACTTAGCAATGCACCGGCTTACTTCCCTCAGATTTGGCTGAGCTGTAAATGACTACTGTTGATTCTGACAAATTGGTATGTGGGGGTATTCACGCCATGACAATGACAGTTCTAGTTTTGTACAGAAAATATCAAGATGCAAGTTTCTTTTATTAAGAATAGACTTATTGATTAGATAACTTACAATATTTACAAACATTTATAATACCACACCCATTTAAAGTATTTCAGCTGAGAGTGTATTATCCAAAATATATGTATTGTTATAATGTACTTTATAGTATATTTATTGATATATTTATTGTAAATTTTGATTCTACTAAATTTTAAAAACATTTAGATTTTACTAGATCTTGAAAATATTTTGTTCCATGCTCTTTCATTTAATTTTGAATAATGAATCCAATAAATACCCATAATAAGTATAGGATTAAAATTGATAATGTTTTCTATCTTTAACTTATATAAAAAAGTAATGTTTAAACTGCTGGTTAGATTTCAAACAGGACTAAACAGGGGTGTACAGTGCCATCCTTGTGCACATTGTTGGCATGTTCTCATTGTCAGATACCCATGGCCGAACCATTAATATTCATCATTGATTGCATGTTATGTGACATGTTTATCAATTGTGGGTATCCAACGATGGCAGCCATGTCCTGTTTCTCTGCACAAAATGGCCGAAGAGTTAAAAAAAGAAAAATCTATCACATGTACAACTGCCAAAATTCAAAAGAGTGATCAGAACCATACACAGTTTTGGGAGACATGTTTTTGTGACAAAAGCCCTTCAAGTTCATATATGACCTTGACCTTTATTTGATATAAAATATCTTTGAAGTTAGCTGGAATTGTCATTACTTTGTTATTTTTTACAGATTTGAATCATGCTTGAACAAACAAACACAGAAGCAACATGTTGAATTTTTCTAATATATTTTGACCTTTAAATGACCATTACCTCCAAGGTTAAACAATTGAAATTCACTCACATTGTCATGACTTTGTTTTTGTCTATGATTTGATTCATTCTTGGACAAAAGAACAATTGTCATTCAACTATGACCTTTACTATTCAAATTTGAAATTTACTTTATACATTTATATTATGTTTTCTAGGAGTACTCTAATAGATATTACAATATTCTCCTACTGATGTGTTTGACTTTCAATATAAGAAAAAAGCCAAGCATGGCCCAAGCTAGATAGTGGCTCTTGTTTTCAATGCCAACTTGATTATATGTCTCCATTCCAATTTACATTCTCACATGTATTATCTATTGTGCTTGAAAGGTTTCTACAAAAAATAAGTTTGTTCTTACAGTCCTGGTTTTATTTTAGAAATATTTTATAGACAGTTAAATTTTCTGTTTATTTCTATCTGCATAATCATTTCTTGGAATAAATATAGTAAGTACACTGATTTATGTGTTATACATTCACGTAAGGAAGTACTTTACATGAAAAATTGGTTAAGCAACTATAGTTTCCCAACAAAAATCCAATGTCATAATTTAAAATGTTTATTCATGATATATATGATATCAATTATGCATTTTGCCTGGGTTTGTTAGTATGTTTCTTGGTACAATGATTTTTAAATTTTTACCAAAGAAGTTTGAAGGGGATTTCTATTAAAAAATTTTGTTTCAAAATGGGGGGACTTATTCAAATTTTAAAGAAGGGAAAGATATTTAGATTTGGGAAAACCCTAAAGGGGAAATTCCCATACCCAAAATTTGAAAATTTTGCACATATTGCGCCCCCATCAGTGCTTTCAGCACTTTGATTAGTAATAACATTTGAATCGAGACATGTGCCATGAAGAACAAAACGCAATAACAAATTGTATGCCCACGCGTAGGTTACCTGTACAATGTATAAATATATTTTTACTTGTGTGTGCTTCGGTTCTTTACAGTTGTGACAAAAACAAATAGCCAAACATATTTATTAAAATTCAACAATTTGATTGCTGTTGTGTTGGATTAACAATAAGTATACGTATATTTTAATAATCCTTTTTCAGAACTTTCAAACCGAAACTAATGAGAACTCCTACTTGCTGGCAGCGTGCTTATGAAAATGCTTTGAAGATATGTAGACATCACGAAAATCATAATGCTTCACTGGTGTTCTTCAATCTGTTTTAATAGTAGGACCATGGCACCCGGCTGGTGCTTCCGGGTTGTGTTCTGTAAACGTCCCCTTGCCTTGCTGATCTTTGTTCTCTTTTATCATATGGAGACATATTGCCCATGTTCGAAAGGATGTTTTTTTTTCTCGTTTGAAAATGCAAGAAACCCACATTTCATATTTGCTGTTTATTTTTCCCTTTCAGACATTGTCCCGAATTTTTTTCCCATTTTTAGATTTTTTCAAATTTTTTTTTTATCCCGTTTTCCTTTTTTTCACAAAAAGATTAATTTTTCAGGGAGTTAGATAGTTAGAAAAAGTCATGTATTTTTTACTTTAATATAATTTAAAATGGTTAAATTAAAAAACACTGATGGTTTTTTGTGGGAGAGAAAAAATTTAAAACGGTTTTCGAAAAAAAATATTTATATTCTTCTAAAGCCAAAATTTGGAAATTTTTGGGAAAAAATCTTTTCCAAAATATAGTTTAATTATCTTGAGAAATTTTCTTTTAAAGGTAAAATTTTCCCTTTACTTTTTTAGAACAAAAAAAAAAAAAGACATTTTGACTTTTTTATTCCTTACATAATGAAATTTAAAATGTTTTGATGATGTTTTTAATTTTTTTTAGTTTTAATTTAAAGAATGAAATGTTTACTTAAATATGATTTTTTAAAATTTTATTTCAATAACAAAAGGTTTTCCTAGATTGAAAAACTCTTTAAAAAAGTGTAATTCTTATTTTTATACATTAGTTTACATCATTTATATCAGTAGTTACTCATTTTTAAAGATAACAAAAAATAAACCCCTCAATTTTTTCAAATATGATTCCTTTTGAAATTTAAAACTTTACCATAACAAAGAAACATTTATAATAGCGTTACACTGGTGCTTTCTCATTACCAATTATCTATTTCATGTATTCATATTCTAGTCACACGTTAAGAATTACACATTCGAGTGTGTACATTACTTACATTTAAAAATCATGTGAATATGTATGAACTGTTGGCATTGATTGCTCCATTTATTTCTTAATTTGATGTTTTGGTGGCAAAATGTTTGCTATTATTTTGTCACTTCCAAGCATCGGACGAACAACAGGTAAATTTATTAGAATTTCCTTTTAATGAATGAGGTAAATAGTTTTGTATGATGAGGCATTTGATATTCACAAAGCAATACGAACTTAATTTGTTTTATACTTTCAATACAGTAACATCCGCAAAAAACGAACATCCAAGTATAATCAAAGGAGACATGTATTTTTTACTTGTTAGGAAACATTAGCTGTCATTATTGTCAGAAAGCTTTGGAGTATACTCAAAAATAATAAGGAATTGAAAAATGACTTTAAATCAGGCTGAAGGGTCTGACTTGTCATAAAGGTAGTATTCAAAATATAGCAATTACTTTTTATTAAAGGTGCCATTACTGCAAAAATAATGACAGTATATTTATTTCTGTATACGTGTCTTATAGCATACGGTAAAATTGAATTATCAGAAAAGATCATATATATTTTTTGTAAATAATTGTCACATAATAGCTACGTTTCTACTCAACGTTAACAATTAAAAATGAATCGTGTCAGGAATGTATTCTCTAAGTGTTTGGATAAAACTTGGAAATGTGAGATTCATATTGAATCGTCCATTA